TACTTTTATTATATGTATTTATTTGTGTCATGGGGAGGGTATACATGGCACAGTTTGGGTGGAGGTCAGAGGACAATTTGTGGGAATTGATTTTCTTCTACCATGTGGGTCCTGGGAATGGAGCTCAAGTCATCGAACTTGGCAGCAAGCACTTTTATCCATTGAACCATCTACTCTGTCCAAATTCCCTGAGTTTTATATGTAGACATTCAAACTATTTGGAAATAAAGACAGCTTTCTTTCTTTCTCTCTTTCTCTCTCTTTCTTTCCCTCCCTCTCTCCCTCCTTCCTCCCTCCTTCCCTCCCTTCCTTCCTTCCTCCTTCCTCCCTCCCTCCCTTCCTTCCTTCTTCCTTCCTTCCTTCCTTCCTTCCTGTCTTCTTCCTTCCTTCCTTCCTTCCTTCCTTCCTTCCTTCCTTCCTTCCTGTGCTGCTAGTGCTCTGGCAAACATGGTGAAAGTTCCTAAAACCCGCCGAACTTTCTGCAAGAAATGTGGCAAGCACCAGACCAACAAAGCAACACAGTACAAGAAGGCCAAGGAATCCCTTTATGTCCAGGGAAAGTGGCATTGTGACAGGAAACAGAGTGGCTATGGTTGGCAGACTAAGCCTATTTTCCGCAGAAAGGCTAAAACTACAAAGAAGATTGTGCTGAAGCTTGAGTGTGTCGAGCCCAACTGCAGATCTAAGAGAATGCTGGCTATTAAGAGGTCCAGGGATTTTGAACTGAGAGGAGACACGAAGAGAAAGGGCCAAATGATCCAGTTCTAAGGTGATTTTATAATGAAGACAAAATCATGAGTTGCTTCAAAAAAAAATTTCAATAAACACGGTCTACTTGGGAAAATAGGACATTTCCTTTTCAAGGACAACACATGTATCAATATTTGGGAAACAGAATCTAATGAATGAACATTTGAGAGGTTACATGTGGGCAAGTCTTTCCAAAAAATCCTAGTTCACCTTCCACTGAATGTTCAAATCTTGGAGAACCATTGTCATCTCCACAGTCCCCGTCATCTCCCCTCTTTCTCCATTTAGTTTCATACCTCTGAAAAATAGCAACATAAGTACTTTAAGTGACTAATCTTCAAGCAAAAAAGTGTAAAACGGAGACACGACAGCACAGGGTTGGATAAATCTTCCTTCCTTCGTTCCTTCCTCCTAACCTTGATCTTTCTTTCTTTCCTTCTTTTTTTCTTCCAGCCTGTCTTTCTGTCTTTCTTTCCTGTTCTATTTTTTTTAGGTTAACATTCAAAGGAATGTGTTTCACCATGGCTTCTTTATATGTATGTTACTGAACTTTGTTCTTCTCCACCTTCTTCGCCAGCTGCCTTCCCTGTGTCCCCTCTCCTCACTAGCAGGTTCTCTTTCCCCCTCAGTCACTGCCCCCATCTGCTTTCTTATAGTATTTATTCCTCATTCCTAACACCCTAAAATCTCTTTCTCCCTGATCATCTTGCCTTTTCTAATTTCAAGACCCACACAACTATCTACACCCCCGCCACATACAATTCTAAGTTTAGGTTCTGTATTTGACAGAAAAGATGCAGTATTTGTCCTTTTGAGTCTAGCTTATTTCCCTTAATATAATGATTTCCAGTTGCACCCATTTTCCTGAATGTCATAATTTCATTTTTCTTTATGGCTACAGAGACTTTCATCAAGTGTGTGTGTGTGTGTGTGTGTGTGTATGTGTGTGTGTGTGTGTGTGACATTTTTTTCATCTATTCATCTATTGATGGACATCTAGGTTAGGTCCATATCTTGGCTATTGTAAATAGTGTTGTAATAAACACTGATATGCAAGTATCTCTGTAGTATGTTGACTCTGAGTCACTGGTATGTACCATAATGGTATAACTGGTCATATGGTGGTTCTATTTTCAGGTTTTTGAGGAACCTCCATACTAAATTCCAAGTGGCTGCACTAGTTTACTTTCCACCAACACTAACTTGGAGCTTGTCTTTCCCCACACCCTCTCCAGCATTTACTCTCATTTGTTTACTTGATGGCAACACTCTGAATAAGGTGCAAGGGAGTCTCAAAGCAGGTTTAACTCGCATTTCCCGTGTCAGCCTATCGTGCTTTTCTTTCTTAATGGGTTTAGTGACACTTTGGCATAGATGTGATAAAAGTCTTGCTTTGTCTTGCTTTGTCAAGTGTCAATCCTTCAGACCCCTCAGGTTAGATTCTTATAAGCTTTTCTCTCTTTTTTAGCATAACCTTCAATGTATTGAGCTACAACATGTCCAGATGTGTGGAATACATTTGAACTTTAAAAATCTGTCTGGAGGCCTTTAATCCCAGCACTTGGGAGGCAGAGGCAGACAAATCTTTTGAGATTGAGGCCAGCCAGAGTTATACAGTGAAACTCTTTCAAAAAAACAAACAAAAAAAAGAAAACAAAAATAAACCCACAAAAAACCCATCTACATCACAAAGAACATGTGTTCCTTATTTGAAACTCTTTTTTCCATGGTACAGTGGAGAGAGTTCTGAATGAGAAGACAGATACTCCAGAACCCCCTTTCCTCTAGTACATGAGTTTACTACAGGGGCATTCATAGCATTAGGAAACAACCGCTGTACTCCAGTTCTATACTGAGCCATTGCCAAGATGGAATTAGATAGCCTAGGTAGAAGTGCTTTATAACTGTAATGGCTTTAAGCTTTGAAAATGTGACATTATTTAGTGCCCTGGAGCAACAAAGTGCTAAATAATTTCTCAGTGGCTTGAACTAATACAGTTGCCAAGAGCCTAATTGTAGAGAATGCTTAAGGGTAAAAGAGGTTAATTTTACATGTAGTCTCTCTGTGTACCAGTTCAAGAGTTATCTTAACACCAAGAAAGGAGTGTGAGGGGTGTCTGGATGAATATGGGTAGAAAGGAGAAGCAGAGTGTCTCTTATGAAAAACAGTGCTTTGAGTTCGGGTGGAGAACATAGCTACTCACCCTTAAACACTCTGTTAGAACACCTTCTTAACATTCAACAAACGAGTCCTTGATGAAGCTTCACTGTGGTAGCTCAGCTTCAGGGTTATTTCTACCCACACACTTTACAGAAAGAAACAAACATACAAATGAAAGTGTTCATAGTGGAGAGTGACAGTGGATGGAATTCTAGAGGGAAGTGTCTTGTAGGAGGGAGGAGTGGGTGAAGTGGATGGACATTGTAGAGGACAGGCATAGAGAGGGGGTAATCACAGTTCTTATTTTGAAAATGTTTGTGTCCAACGGTGTCATGACGAAACTAGGAAAAAGAAACATGAATTTGAATTGAATTCCCCAGGGAAAAGGGCCACATCTGTGTTAAACATTCTAGAAGGCTGATTGGCTGATTGCAACTTCCATGATTAATGGAGAGCTGGGATGTTAAAGGTCTGGAGCCAGATTATTATGGGTTATCTAGAGCCTTTTAAATAGCCATTTATTACCCACCCCTCTGTATGACCTAACATCCTTGTGACTATCAAGTTGATCCATTTGAAATGTGCAAACAGAACCCTAGCTTCTACCAACTGAAAGGCTGGTAACATCTTCAGAAAACATCTAAGGCCTGAGACAGAGGCTTTTCTACTTTATTGTAATCCATCTTCCTGATGTAGTCACTAATATATTTTTAAAGTGTCTTGATTTTTTAAAATTTTATTTGTTCTTTTCCTATTAAAAATAAAGAACTTCATGAAAGTTGTTGCCTCATTGGAACATGGTACTTGGGATAACATGAATCTATGGTCCATGGTCACTGATATTTGGCTCCAGAATATTCTGTCCCTTGTTCCCGTTGAGGTGATCTCTGTGTCTTTTGTGTTGTCAGGGTCGTCAGCCACCTTATTCACTATTGCAGATAAGATGTGTCTGCAGAATTGAGTTGGATTTCTTGGGGCAGGATTTTAAGACTGAGGAGGAACCACAAATTCAACAAAATCACCAGCCAGCATTGTGAGGGCTATGGAAGCTAATGTGAGAAGGAACATTTGAGGTGTTTTAGGAGAGAAGTCTTAGGGAAGAATAGCTTTTACATCATTCAAATATTCTGACATTTGGAATATAGTTACCACCATAGCGAAGATCTTTTTCCAACTAATAATACTGTTTTCTATAAGTGGCAAATTTAAGATCAGTGTTTCTGGGACACACTTCTTAGCTGCTGCTGTTCTGTGGGGTGTAGGAGGCCTTTGTGACTGACTGGGAGTTTTCAGTTTCGAGGAAGAACATTAGCTACCGAGGTGCTAAGGCAGAGATTGCTGCCTGGATGCGAAGATGGATTGAGAAGGTCAGGTGTTCCTTTCAGTAGAAATCTCTCTGTTTGTCCCTGGGCCACCATATTTATTGCTGTGGTCCTACTCTTTTAGTTTCTATGCAGGTCTCAGGTTTTACCCATCAGTGAGATCCTGCTTTTTGGCTTTGTACATAGTGAAAGCAGCTAGTGGGTGAGTTGGTATTTATTTTTGTGCTTCTAATATCCATGGTAAGACTCCATTTAACATGTTAGAAAGGTCATGTATCATGTTTGAGTTCGGGGGGCCAAAGCTGAGCCTTTTTACCTATAGCAGACACTCCCAAATGCCTACCACAACCCCACTCCTTCTTTTGACTTTTCTAATAACAGTGCCCAGATTGAATGTGTGCTTAGCTAAGACTCCCAAAAGTTGACTTTCCAAAAACACTCTGATGCTAGAAGTACCATTGACATCATTGCAGAAGGCTTTTGAAAGACATTGTTTTTCTGACTTAAAAAAACAAAGAAGGTCAGATGCCATTTTACTCTTCGTTCCCTCTCGTCTGGCTATGGGCACAGCATCTGCAGGTTCAAACCTTGCCCTCATGAGGTCAAGAGTCTGAAGATGACAGATATTTTGGCTTCCTTCAGGTGTTGTCCTCATCCTGCTCAGTCAACTGAACTATTTCTGGGTATATGAAAGAAATCAGGTCCACATGGTCAAGCATAGTCCTGACTGATGTTCTGGTGATCAGCATGTCACAGGGAAACAATTTACCATTTGTTGTCAGAGTGCTCAATGTCCTAAGCTATAAGCATAAGTATACGTACTCCTTTTTACATAGTAGACTGTGTGTGTGTGTGTGTGTGTGTGTGTGTGTGTACTGGATAGATTTTACTTTCTTTCCTGAACTTTTTTGTGATTAAAACACTCTTTTGGTCCATGAACATTAAATTGACATTTCTAATTAGGTAGAATAATTTTTACTGTCTGGAAGTTAAAATAAATAACTCCCAAGAAATAAATAAATATTTGCCCTGCACAGTTTTAATACTGGATAAATAGTCATGTTGCTCACCTTTTTGCTCCAAAAAGATTCCATTTCTTAGCTTATCCATTTCACTCTTCAAAAATAACCACCCCCCCACCCCCCAGACACCCTGGAGCCCTCTTTATCTTCAGTAACTCTGTTATGTTGATTATGTAACAGATTGGCAGTTTTGGTTTTTGTTTCATTTTGTTTCTTTTCTCTCTCCCCAAATCATGCAGAGCAGTGAGGTAGGGAACATGCCTGCTGGACCTGATTTTCTTCTCTAAAATAGCTCTGGCTACCAGTTAATGATAAAGCAGACTTGGCTCACTATAGAAGTCAAAAGTCAAGGAAGTGAATCTAGTCTCACATTGTTAGAAAATGACTCCTAGACAGAAAGTGGAACGTGAGTTTGGTTTGAGCCTAAATGGAGGACAGCAAAACACAATGGAAACATCACTATATCTGGAGTCAGGTCACCATGGATTTCAGTCTGCCATTTCCAACTTTTAA